ATACATGTGTTAGGCACATAATGATACGTCGATGAATTGATTCGCATACATTTTTATATTTACAATGTGTGCATCGAATCATGCATGTCTCGCATATAAATGTTTCAAGTTATGTAAATTTAAAGGGAATGATATACACATATTTACATTCAGGCTTATGGAGCTCATAAAATTGTCTAAAAAATAACAGATAAAATTCCTATTGAGAAACAATGCAAATGAGACAATTGAGCGTGCGATGAGATAATAGATTCTGGGGTAAAATCGCGATCCCGAATGGGGAGGTGGAAGATGGCACATTGTATGGAATAACGATGCCTTTTATGTTACCAAATAAAATGTGGAAAATAAGTGGCAATTCCCTATAAAATCTGATGAAATGTTTTACGGTACTTGATTAAAGTACGTTAAAACATGTGGCCACTGAGGACGCTGTCGCATGGCGTCGCGATTACGCATATGCTGGATGAATGAATGGTTCTAAAATAATAGCTCAGCGAGTGCCTGGGATGGTTATTTTAAACCGCTCTACCATTTCGCATGCGTCAAGGTTTGTGATGGATTGTCCACATTAGGGCTGCTATAAAATATTTTAAAAGCATTTTTAACACTCCAGGGCGTTGTTTTTCTTTAAAGGGCAAGTATACACCATGCAGTTTAGCACTGCAGCATTCATGCAAATCAAAACTGTGGCTTCAGGGTTATTATATTTAATAGATGCATTTCATCAAAGTCAGGTCAAGGTATGTATGAAATTGATAACTTAATAATTTTAACTCGTGAAGGTCTCACTTTCTGGCATAGAATTAAACGTATACATTCTGGTATTATCTGCCCTTTTTATCTCCCACCAAAAAGTCAGTGATTCCCTACTCATGCGAGCAATGAGGTGGCTGTTCATCTGTTATTTACAGTCCTGAGCCAGTGGTGGAAATACCACATTAATATGGTAGAGGAAAATCTCTCCATAGGACACCCACTGATGGCTTCACCATAGAACGATACTTATTTTATCCACCCGAAAGGGATGATTGGCTTAGCCAAGGGAAAAATCAGGATTTTAGTTCACAACCTTCCTAAAGCGAAACGCTCACTCTACTGCTGACCCACGTTACATATTGCATTTTGAAAACAATTGTGAGTGCTACTTATTTTGATCCAGATGACCAAACATAGCACTGACAAGGGGTTAGACCCAGTGAGGCTTTCTGGAATGTGCATGTATTAAGGGCTTAAATGCCACGGTAAAGAACACTTGTACCATTGTTGGAACACGCCAACACTATATTAGAGCTTCACACCAAGTAAGCAGTCTATTATTCTTGGTTCTTTCGGTAAAGTCACGTAGAAGGGAACAATCAAATAATACAAATATAAAACAATAAAATTCTTACGACGTTTCGACTGAAACACAAGCAATCATCATCTACGTGACTTTACCGAAAGAACCAAGAATATGAATCCCTGCAGTCACAAAATGTTTACATCAAAAGCAGTATTTTGCAGTAGTAGAGGAGCGACTGGGTATGTCATGCCTCAGAAGCTGAGCAAGCCGCTCAACATACTGACTCATTTAACCCTTGGTAAGTCGCGATTGTATATCACACAAGACATCGAGAGACAGCGACTCAGATGGCTCGGACACGTACTCGCAGTGGACCAGGTCCGTGTACCAAACGTGGCAGACCCAAGACCCACGTGGCGCTAGACCGTGAAGGCCGCGCTGGTGGCAGCGATCAACCTGCGTTGGGGCGAGGCTCAACGTGGAGGGGAACTCGTTGTGGCCTTATGTCCAATAGGGGATGAAGTGGTTTGTAAGAAGATTTCAAGAGTCCTACATGTGCATCAGTTGACCAAGCATTCCAAACATTGTTCACAAGCAGCTGTTTGTTTAGCTCCGGAATCACAGCAAACACAATGGCCTTTACATTCACACCCTGCCTGGGTTGTGTCTGGGAGGTGGTATGCTTACGGTGCGCGATTACCCTGGGAGGTTCAAATGGCACCATGCAGGTGCGGCTCTATTTTAATTAAATGAGCCGATCGGCCACAAATCATGGTGTGAGACGTGCGGTTTATTCTCTTGGACACTTGGAAACCTTTACAGAACTCTAATTCGTTGGCCTCACGGAACTGTGCGATACTCAAAGTGATCTCCGTTGAAAACAATGGCCACAGTTATGTAAGATCGAGACATTTTTGTTCAAAACGTCTGGCTAACCCAGCAGCATTTGTTTAACAAGCCTGACATTTCTGAGGCCCAGAAGGTCTAAACCAGTCCACAATTTGCTTGCTTAAGCCATAATGCTGCTGCATAATATTGGTCTGGAAAGACAACAAGCTGATCAACTATAACATCGTATTTTATTTTATGTGGAGATACAGAACATATTGCTGCTCATGCAGTATGTGCTTTAACTCCTAATGTTCCACACAACAGCAACGCATAATGGGTTTGTATATTTTATTATGTCATAAGAGTTACAAAACAGTTACCATACTGTATATACCAAGCGTTGTCAACGTGCAGATGGCAGATACGGAAAAACATATATCTGGCTACATCACGTGGCTTAGAGACCATCGATTACCGTGGTGTTTGTTGTACCGTGTGTCATTGCTCGCTACGCTGTGTTTTACATGTCTGTGGGTTAGGTGGGCATTGATAAGCACGGAGCAGTTTGTGGCCCCAGCCTCTAACACCACGAACTGTGTCGTTATCTAGCCTGCAAAGCAGTGCTGGATCGCATTTATCTCAACAAAATAACTGCTACTGCACAGCAATATCCTCGACACATTCCATCGTTTTTATAAGCAGCGTTAACAGCTATCGACCGGTCCTTGGCACAGCATAGTTCCAGTCAAAGTCCGCTGCATGCTTGGGAAATGCACATGACCCGCCCTGTGAGACTCAATTATCCACCACTTGCTGCTGCTGCTGTACTTTGCAAACTTTCTGTAACCCCCCCTCCCCCCTATCTTTCAAATGCTTCAAGCGATTATCAACTACAGTACTTAATCGATGTTAATTGAGATTTGTCATCCTACTGTCGATGGACATTTAGCACCGATAAGCGAAGAGAACAGGGTCCATAAAATACAGACCAGGCAGTGACCCAAGCCTGCTGCATGGCCTTGTTTAAAGGGGCGAGGGGGGGACATACAACATCTCAAGAGGGACGTGACACCGTCAATGTTAAATAAACTGTAAACGAACGTTAAACGCTAAACAGAATGAGTAAAACATCTGATCTGCTTTTGGTGTTCCATATTGTGCCAATATATTTTTTATGATTTGATGATGGGAATATAGAAGGGGTGGGGGGGGGGGCTGAGCTTTCATCAAGGGGGTGGCTCCCCCAGCCACCACCTCCACCCTCGACGTTACAAATCTGATCCCAGGGATCCCAAACTCCCACAGCCACTAAGTGCCATGTTTTTGCGGCCGTGTCACGCAAGCCCACTACGCCGCCGCCGCAGGTAGTAGATTAGCAGCATGCGTGCAGATGATGCCGGAGAAGATGTTTCCCAAGCCAGAGAAGACAGCGCTGGAATGTCGATTGGGGATGTTTACATGACGGGCAAATTTTATGCATTTTGAAACTGGTGGTGGGTGGTGTTTTTTTTTCCATTGGGGTCACAGGGGGATTGTGGCTTGGATGCCGGGGGCATGTGGGCGTTTTGAGGCTTTGGGTCAACTGCGGTGATGTAGTGGCAGCGTTAGCATGCAGCGTGCACGATGGAGAAGTGGATCAAAGCAGTGGCCCGGTGGCTGATAGGCCACAGCACTGATCCAGCACTGCTGAGAACCTCGGTGTGATACCAAGTGGCCATACCTGATTAAACTGGCTTTTATAGTCTCACCCCAGTCACCAATGACTGCACGAAAAATAAGCATCACATTGAATTATATATTGTATTTGACTTAGCCTATTCCATTACTTTTGGATTGATATTACTGGTTTGACTGTAATGGGACAAACCCAATCTCATAGTAGAAAGTGTGCTCCCCCTTCCTATTGTGTGAAAATAAAGCGGTCAAACGTTGTGTTAAATAATTATCTTGAACACACTGTGTCTCAAGTGCTCTCCCAAGAAGTTATAAATGGACTTTCTCTGTCTCTTCACTGTGCTGAGAGTCCACCGATAATGAAATTGGGGAATAGACAAGAAAGCAGGTCACGTCCGTTGCCTTGACTGAAGAAGAATATGTCGGTCTACTAGGCCAGCCTTTTGAGCTGTACTTATCACCCAAACCAGCAGTTACGTGGAACTTTACATCACATTGTAAGGCCTGGGGCCAATTTACCCATTGATGCATCATCACACCTTGTTAATGTGATTTAATTTTTCGATTTAAAGCTTTCGTGACTGCAAGGATTCATCTTCTTTGATTCTTTCGGTAAAGTCACGTAGAATGAGAATAAAATAATACATTGATAAAATAAAATAACACAATAATATTCTCACGACGTTTCGGCCACAACACAAGCGGCCTTCATCAGGTGAAGGGACGAGACTGTCCTACCAGACAGTCTCGCTTGTGTTGTGGCCGAAACGTCGTGAGAATATTATTGTGTTATTTTATTTTATCAATTTATTATTTTATTCTCATTCTACGTGACTTTACCGAAAGAATCAAAGAAGGTGTGATTTAATATTCATTGTGTGTGTGTGGTAATGTTTTCTTCTGGGATGTGATTTTAGCGCAGCATTAGAAATAAACACAAGCTTAATATCATAAACTGTTGCCCGTTTACAGAGCAGTAGATTTATTAGGGTGTGTGCTACATTTTCGCGTGAATGGCAGATGGTAATTTAATATGAAATAATTAATTCCTGTAAAATATATAATCATTGTATAATTGGGCAGGAAGTTGTGTCAGCAGCTTTGCCCTAGACTTCGGCCATGAAGATGTTTTACTTGATGATTACGTCTTTTAGTGGAGCCATATTTTTGTTTTATCATGCTTATGCGATTGTGTCATGTTGTGTTGCAGGAAACGGAATCTTTGGAAATCACAAGCATCCGAGACACAAGGACTGGGAAGTATGCCAAAATGCCAAAGGTGAACACGGAGGGGGGAATGCTTTCGTCAATGATCTATGTTAACTTGCTAAATTACCCTTCATCTCTGTGGAAAATCCTAGCAGGAAACAAATAAACCAACCAGCAACCTACGTGCCATAACTCGTACCCATAAGCACTGCTTGGGACTCGGTTATCAGTTGGTCGATCCTCGGTTTGTTTTTCGCTGGGGTTTAACATCAATGAGTGGCATTTCACCAAGATAGCCATTTTGGGAGCATTTTGTAACAGCAACAATTGTAACTTTGTCTGCCACAAAAAATGCTTAAAAATACTTAAATTCTGTGAGGCATACAATCGACAAGGCAGAGCAGGAAAGGAGGTGCGCCACAGTAAGTTGCAAATGAAGGGACTCACAGGGAGAGGCAATCCTAAGCAGACAAAAGAAAGGCCTACAGCAAGGACTTGAACAGAACAAGTCAGAAGTGGGTGCTGCAGCAATTAGTTAATTGAAGTGATGAATGCATTACTTTTAAACTATTTTTTTGCACAGAAAATTGATTCATTGGCCGCCTATTTGGAACAGCAGTCTCCTATTATCCGGCCTCCAAAATTCAGAAAACTCACTGCAGTGAATGCCCTGCGTGAATGCTGCGAGGACGAGCGATGGCGGTGTCGTCATTTCCCCACCCACCTTGAGCTCAGGTGCAACACCATTATTATTTTACGTTACGAAAAATTATGTTATTTAATTAATCGAATCAGTGGTTGAAGAGTTAACCAACGAAGTAAGGGGGTAATCAACTCAGCAAGGTGATGATAGTTGTAGCGTTCCGATTATACTATGTTGAACTTCTTTCATACTGTATGTAGTGAGCCGTGCCAATTGGAGGTTCCTGAGCTCATTGATAATTGGGTGGCACTGTGGTGCCACATTCAAACATGGGGAATGTTTGTGTTGCTAGCATGCTCATGGTAAGCGCGTGTGTCTGTTGGTGCGGATAGATGCGTCTGCCAGTTACCACAATCTGTTAACTCAACAGCACCTGGGTTCCCCCTTCCTGTAACCACCGGCCACCGAGCCTTTGCGCTACATGGGGCCCTCAGAAAGTACATCTAGCCTGGCACTAGCCACATAGTGGTATCACAGCACTAGTGGCTGCTACTGCTGCCACCGCCACCATGATCGAGGTACCCGCTTGGTGGTGTGCACCTATCGCTTGGTGTTCTTAGAACAACAGACTGGCTCCTTACAATGGAAACTGCTTTATGGACTCTGGCTTTTATGAATCTGCACTCCTCAATACCAGTACAGATAATGCCTCTTACGCGATGCGTAGCAGTGGGCTCCATGTGCCGCAGGATAATGTTATCTTTGACAGTTGTCAATATTGATACAGCGCTGTCACTTGTACGTAGACAAATACCTTAAGTAGTTATGATAGTAGCAGTAGCCAAGGTTTTTCTCCTCAATAATACTGCCTTGAAAGAAAAAAATACATTTAAAAAGTCAGTTGTGTTTGTACAATAGCTAAACCCGTTTTATATTATTCAGTAACGATAATAATAATAATAATAAGAAGAATAACGAGGCTATTTGTGATTTATTTATCCAGGAAAGCCTCGCTGTGCCTTGATCCTGCAGGATGTTTGGCCAATTTCATTTAAAGGAGTTATGTATTTTGCATGTTAAAGGAGTCCAAGGTTCCCAAAGAGTACATATCCATACAAGGCAATAGCAGAGAAAGGTCTGCGAAGACAGCGTGACAAACGAATTTAGCTGGAATGCCATCTCCTGCACACCTTTAAATCCGGCGGATTTGGAAACCTCACAAATGTGTGATCTTCCAACCCTTGCCTCCCAAGAGCTGAGTTACAAGTATATCATGCGCCACCTTGCTTGCTTGGCTGTATGAATAGATATTTAAAATGGTGTATTTTTGTTATAATAACTTAAACATTGTTCTTCAAACAACATGAAAATAAACGTTCCAATGTTTTCAGAAGCCTAACAGCAGGCCGTGCCCATGACATCACAGTCTGCACCAGGATATTTGAAAATAAATAGAGCGGCTTCATGCTTTTGAATCTCAGCATTAAAAAAAATTGCTCGCCGTAAAAGATGTGAATAAATAAATACTGTAATTTGATTATTCATTAGTGTTTTTTTCTTTTTTGGTAGCTAATGAACGGTTCACAAACAAGATAACAGCGGCCTTGTGTAACCTCTTCCATGTGTGGCTTAAATTGGGGCAATATTACACTGTGTGTGTCTTTGTCTTTATTTGTGTTGTGAACAGGAGTCTAGTCTAGTGGTTAGCCTGCAAACCAAGTTTGAGACCTGCTCACGGGCAACACCAGTGAGGATTATCTGAACCAGTCTTGGGCCTCCCCTAAGTCAACTCTGCCTCAAATGAGTACCTGGTGCGATGCGCAAACATTGACACTGGGAGACAAAGGCGGCCGGGTGTGGTACTGGCCACCCACTCCCTTGTGTGCCATGCCAGCCTTAATAGGTGCTGCTCGCTAGCAGCTATACGGGGGATCTTTGTCTTTGTATATGTGTGTGGGAGATCGTTAGGGTAGTGGTTGGCGCACTGCACAACGAGCACTGGTTACCTGAGTTCGATTCATGCCCATGGCCAACGTCAGTGATAAATATCTGAACTAGTCATGGTCCTCCACTCCCCGAGATCGACTCAACCTCTGAGTACCTGGTATGGTGGTCAGATATCGAGACTAGGGGGAGAAAGGTGGCTGGGTATGGTGTTGGCCATACGGCCCATCTCATGCACCATACCGACCTTAATAGGTGCTCGCTAACGGAGGGGGGGGGGGGCAGTGTTTATGTGGCTATCAAAACTAATCATGTTTGTGTGCATCTGCGTCTGTGTCGCCATCCCCGGGAATTAATACGTCATGGGACACATTACCGCTACCTTCTGGACTTCTGGCATCGGGGTCACATAACGTGCCTTTGAGCATACCACTAATCATCATATAATCATCATGTTCATATTTGATTTGTTGACATGTGTTTGTGCTTCAAATGCAGGAGCGAAGAAATACACAAACACGTCTGTAATAATCGTTAAAAAAAACATGTTTCCAAAATGCATTTTTTTTAAAGCAGTGACTGCCAAGCTGTGATTGTTCCCTCGAGACAATTTTACAGGATGGCACCATGGAAATATTAAACAAAATCACAATATTGCGACAGTATTACTGCTGCTTGCTGCTTTTAGTTGTTTGCTTGCTTTCCATTATTCTGTTGTACAACTTGGGAACCAGAAGGAGTACACGGATGGTGGGGGGGGGGGCTGTTTACAAGATCGTGGTGCTGAGACAGTTGAGATTTCTATGGCATTAGAGCCACAGATGTATTTTGCTTGGTTCAGCATTTGTCAAAAAGTAAAAGTCATTGTGTTATTGTTATGCAATAATTATAATCCGTATACTGTGCAGTGCTTTTTCAGTTCACTTCTGGATGAAGGTCTCCGCATACGTTTTGGTTCTTTAACCATATTTCACCACACTGGTCAGTGTGGGTTGGTGGCAGGGGTCAGCATTGTGCAATTGTCACTGAGAGGAATTCCAAAGTAGACCTCGTGTAACAAAGTCAATTTCACGACACCGTAGTGTTGCATAATGACAGATTGTCATTTTTTTTCAACCGAAATGGCCCATACATAAAATGTAGGAATTCTTGTAGCACAACAATAGCACCTATGAATAGTTCTTACTTCTATATAAGGCCTGCAACATTGTAGAATGCAACCGTACCCTCTCCAAAAAACAAGACATTGCAATGATGGCATCATATGTCAGGAAAATACTTCCAAGTATGAAGGTCTGTGCTGGAATTTGCGTGGCAGTGTCAGTGTCAGAAAAAATGTAAGGTATTAGTTCACCATGGGTTGGATTTTGAATTTGACACCGACCATTAATAACGAATGAGGTTATTTTTGTTGTTGTTAGTTGGATCGCCCGCTTTTATGGTTGTGTGATAACCACAGGCAGTCTAAAAAAAACGAGCAATAAGCAATCAAATAATTGGGTTTGTTTATCCTTAGGGAGTATCACGTTTGGGTTAGCGTCAGAGTTAGGGTTATACAGTAGTCGTCTTCAGTTGTACTCACGTGAGAGTAAATATTTTGTTACTAGCCTTTTGCCCGTCCTAGGATGGAAGCTGTAATATTTACGAAAAAATTGAACAGAGTATAATTGTATCTTGTGTAAATTTAATATCAGTGAATCTTGCACAAAAGTACGTCATCAAACACTTAACTGCATATCACTGAGCGGCTTCATGCTTTTGAATCTCAGCATAAAAAAAATATTGCTCGTCGTAAAAGATGTCATCAAACACTTCACTGCATATCACTGTAGCACTGTGTTAATGGCAGTGATTCTTGCACAAACGAAGTCATAAAACACCTCACTTCATGTCACTGGAACACTGTATATAACTGACCCTCAATTTGTTAAAATTCACTGCTCTGATACTTTATTCTCTTCTGCTTTCGGTCGCTGGGGTTGAAATAAATTAGAATTCGAACCAATATCTGGAAAATAACCGAGAATGTATATTTTAGCATCATGTAGAAGCATAAATTAGGCTTACCTTTGTCGCAAGTGCTGAAGAAATATATAAAGACACCAAATCCACTTTGTTGCTGCGTATAATTATTTATTTGATTCACTTTCAATAAAGAAACGTCAAACTTAAAGCCAATTTGCGAATAAAATTATTTCCGCTCGATCATCTTCTGCGTGAGTGTAAAAATCCACCCGCTCATGAATATTCATGATGGGGGGGAGGGGCATGTGGAGTGACGTCACGCGCGTTACACACAGACAGACATTATTGGCTCATTATAGTCGTAATAGCGAATAAAGCACGGTGGAAGGGATGATGGCCGATGGTGCAGATGCTGCGTGGAGGGAGGAGGCCTTTATCAACAGTAGATTATGATGGCCAGTGATCATGATGATTTTGACCGGTTGGTGTCTGAACCTGACCTGCACCTCCCCCTAGAT